AGCCACAGGCACGGTAAGCATTCTTAAATAAGGAAACCCTTAGGCACTGCTATTGGGGGCGGGGATCAAGCTGAAAGTGTGTTGGCACTACTGGGGTGGGGTAGGGAGCAGGGATTCTGGTCATGTCTCCAGACAGACCTATGAGTGGAGGTGACTACTGTTTAAGTATGCCAGAGTGTTGTCACTTGGTAAATGGTAGAACATCATTCTGAAATCCTTGTGTCTAGATGAACCACTCAGTATGGACTGGACTTTGCTGTCATTTGCTGAAAGTACTTTCCTTTAAAGCCATGTTAATCCTACATCCTAAACCAGCAAAGCTGGGCAGGGTTGTACCTGCTATAATTCTAGTCCTGACAAGGCTGAGGCAGGAATCAGTTGTTTTGGGCTACATAATGAGACCTTGTTTCAAAAAATAGAAAGCCCAGTATCGGTGGCTGGTTCTGGCCATCCTTGCTACTTGGGAGGCAGAGGTTAGGAAGACCAGGCCAGGCTGTGCAGAAAAATCCATGAGATTCCACTTCAGTGGAGGGAAGCCAGATGCTATGGTTTGTATCGGTGGTCCCAGTGAGGACAGAAAGCCTAAAGTAGGCAGATTGAGTAGGAAGTTAGACCCTATCCTAATAACAATGAGCAAAAACAAGGCTGGAGGTGTGGCTCAATGGTAGAGTGCCAATCCAGAAGCTTGAAGCCCTGGTTTCAAACCCCAGTATCAATAATACACACTCACTTACACTTGCATACACTTTGAGGTCAGAAAAACACACACATTGGAGAGTGGGGAGATAAGCAAACACACAGGTCCTGGTGATCATTTATGATGTGGCAGAGGAAGAGTTGCTAGCCCAGAACTCGGGTGACCTAGGAAGTGATAGGCACTAAGCACCTATTTAACTACTGAACGCAAAAATTACAACTGGCAGTGGTTCGGCCCTCTGTCCCAGGTGCTGAGCTGAGCAAGCAGTTTGCATGTGTTATTCCTCTGATATTTGGAACAAACCCTGTATAGTGAGAATGACAGCAGGTAGCTATTACCAGTGCTTCATCCACACTTGGCATTAGGCAAAGAACAACATATTTAATGCTTGCAAGAACCCTTTAACTCCTTAAAATCTCATCAATCTGGGAAGAGAGTAATAAAAGTGTAGACAATAGGATTTTAGGGTTTTATATTAGGTTGTTTATTGGAGAAGAGGAAGAGGGACAGCACTTTTTTTTGGGGGGGGGGTAAGTTGTGGGGCTTAAACTCTAGGTCTGGGTGCTGTCCCTGAGCTCTTCCAGCTCAAGGAGAGTGCTCTACCACTTGAGCCATAGTGTCACTTTTGATTTTCTGGTGGTTCATTGGAGATAAGAGTCTCACATCCTTTCCTGCCCAGGCTGGCTTTGAACCACGATCCTCAGATCTCAGCCTCCTTAGTAGCTAAGATTACAGGTGTGAACCACCAGCACCCGGCAAAGGTGTAGCCCAGGCTGGTTGGAACTCATCATACTCCTGCTTCATCCACATACTGGTGTGTGCTACCACAGCCAATGAGAGCACTCTTTAAGTGTAACCTTAGGTCCTCTACTACTGGAGATTAGGATTATACTATTTATTTTATTTTTTGAGGGGGGTCTGGTCGTGGGGCCTGAACTGTGGGCCTGGGCGTTGTCCCTCAGCTCTTCAGCTCAAGGCTAGCGCTCTACCACTTGAGCCACAGCACCACTTCCGGCTTTTTTCTTTTTGCTTATGTGGTGCTGAGGAATTGAACCCAGGGCCTCATGCATGCAAGGCAAGCGCTTTACCACTGAGCCACTTTCCCAGCCCTATACCATTTATTTTTATGACATTTAAAAAATATGCAGAGCTTTCTTTGAATTTGACCACTTCCATGTTAAGTTCAGTTATTTTGTGTGTGTGTGTGTGTGTGTGTGTGTGTGTGTGTGTGTTTGCCAGTCTTGGGGCTTGAACTCAGGGCCTGGCCACTGTCCCTGAGCCTCTCTGTACTCAAGGCTAATACTTTACCACTTGAGCCACAGCACCACCTCTGGCTCTTTCTGTGTATGTGGTACTGAGGAATCAAACCCAGTGCTTCATGCATGCTAGGCAAGCACTCTACCACTAAGCCACATTCCTAGCCCATGTGTGTGTGTGTGTGTGTGTGTGTGTGTTTTATGTCACTACTGGGGCTTGAACTTGGGGGTCTTGTACTCTCACTTGCCCCCCCCCCCTTTTGTCGGTCATGGGGCTTGATCTGTGGGCCTGGGCATTGTCCCAAAGCTCTTCAGTTCAAGTCAAGTGCTCTACCACTTGAGCCACAGCGCTACTTCCAGTTTTCTGGTGGTTCATTGGAGGTAAGAGTCTCATGGACTTTGCTGCCGGGGCTGTCTTTGAACCGTGTCCCTCAGATCTCAGCCTCCTGAGTAGCTGGGATTGCAGGCTCCCACCTTCACTTGGCCTTTTCTGCTCAAGACTGGCACTCTACCACTTGGGCCATACCTCTAGTATGGTTTTTTACTGGCTAATTCAAAAATAAAAGTTTTGGATTTGTCTGCCTGGACTGGCTTTGAACCACTGAAAGTAGCTGCAATTACTGGTATGAGCCACCCATTAGGTTTAGATTATTGATGTTTTTGACAGGAATGCAGATGTCAGGACAACATGTCAGCAGACTTGGTGATCACTTATTATTGAAAATGTTTTGTGCTGGTATTGAACCCAGGGTCTCACATGTGCTAAATAAATACTTGCTCTACCACTAAGTAAGCTATCTCCCTCCAGTCTGCCATAGCAGGTTTTTGTTTTTTTTTTGTCGGTTATGGGGCTTGTACTCTGGGCTTCTGGGCTATCCCTGTGCTCTTCAGCTCAAGGAGAACACTCTACCATTTGAGCTTACAGCACCACATCCGGTTTTTCTAGTGGTTAATTATAGATAAGAGTCTCACGGAAGCGCCACTTCCGGCTTTTTTTTTTTCTGCTTATGTGGTGCTGAGGAATCGAACCCAGGGCCTCAAGCATGCCAGGCAAGTGCTCTACCACTGAGCCACCTTCCCAGTCCCCCGGGCTGGCTTTGAAACATGATCCTCAGATCTCAGCCTTCTGAGTAGCTAGGATTATAGCGTGAGCCACTGGCACCTGACTAGCAATCATTTTTTTTTTTTTTTTGCCAGTTGTGGGGCCTGAACTCTGGGCCTGGGCGCTGTCCCTCAGCTCTTCAGCTCAAGGCTAGCACTCTACCACTTGAGCTATAGCGCCATTTCCAGCTTTTTCTGCTTATGTGGTGCTGAGGAATTGAACCCAGGGCCTCATGCATGCACGGCAAGCACTCTACCACTGAGCCACTTTCCCAGCCCATAGCAATCATTTTTAAATGCATAAATCTGTCCAAATAGTGGAAGACAGCTAAGAATTATGAATTTTGTCTGTTAGCTTCCCATTGCTGTTGCAAAATTATTGAGAAAAACAACTTAAAGGAGATTTGCTGCAGATCAGGTTGTCACAGTAAAGAATGTAACAGAACAACCCATCCAATACATTTTATCTTCAATAAGGGAATAAAATGTCAATAGGATGTGTCTTTGATATTACATATCTTCTATGCAAAGAGCATGCTGTGAGGCTGCTCCTCTGCCGCATTCTCTGGAACATTGAGATCAAGCCCCAGGACTGGCAAATAAAAAAAGCAAAATAAAATACATATTTTGTGTATTTGGGCTCTTGTTCAAGTACTTGGACACCGTCCCTGAGATGCTTTGCTCAAGGCTAGCTCTTTACCACTTTAGCCACATTTTTTTTGGGGGGGGGGTCGGTTTTGGGGCTTGAACTCTGGCCTTGGGCGCTGTCCCTGGGCTCTTCAGCTCAAGGGAAGAGCTTTACCGCTGGAACCACAGCGCCACTTCCGATTTTCTAGTGGTTTATTGGAGATAAGAGTTTCACGGACTTTCCTGCCCAGGCTGGCTTTGAATTGCGATCCTCAGATCTCAGCCTCCTTGAGTAGCTAGGATGACAGGCGTGAGCCACCGGCGCCCGGCTTGAACCACATTTTAATTACCACCTTTTTTAGTAGTTAATTGGAGATGAGTCTCACAAACTTTTTTGCTTGGTCTGGCTTTGAGCCGTGATCTTCAGATCTCAGCCTCCTGAGTACCTAGAATTACAGGCATGAGCCTCTCACAGCCGGGAAGAGTAATATTTTCTCGAGATGATCTGCTTATCTTTAAGTGTACTTTGATAATATCAAATTATTTTACTAAATGACTGTAGGAATTGCAACTCTTTTTTTGGTACTGGTTCTGGGGGCTTGAATTCAGGGCCAGTGTTCCTACTAAGCCTTTTGCTCAAGGCTGGAGTTCTTACCACTAGAAACACATCTCCAAGTTTTGGCTTTTTTCTCCCTTTAGTAGAGATAAGAGCCGCTCCCATTCGTGTATTTTGGGCTGGCTTCGAACCTGGATCGAGACTCAGTCTCCTATTGAATAGCTGGGATTGTACGTGTGCACCACTTCACCCACTTGATACTTTAGTTTTAGTTTTAGTTTTTTTTTTTTTTTGCAGTGGTGGAGGTCAAATTCCGGGTCTCACACTGGTAGGCAAAGTGCGAAACTATGCTAGTATCAGCCGTGGCCAACACACAGCACGGGAATCAGACACCCACGGGCACGCGCATACTGCAGTCGCCATCCACGAGTGCGTGGTACAGGCGCGCGCATGCGCGCGCACATATCCTGTTTCCTGAGTCCACGTCAGTAGAAATGGCCACACGTGCCCCATACACACCCTTGCACTCCAAGCGTAACGACACACGCACACCCATGCAGACTCCGCGCGCACAATCCCACACCCCGGCACAGAGCCCCCGGACGCGGGGAAGCCACCTCGCACGCCGCCGCACACCTGGACGGGGTCTAGCGCGCAGGGCTCCGCTGCTGGCGTCTGCAGAATTCTGTCCCGGCCGCGCCGCCGTCGACGTCAGGGGTCAGAGGTCACGGCGACGACGGCGCTGGCGTGTGTGTGTTTTTTTTTTTTACCCGGAAGCCACGGCCGCCGGAGTCCGCGCGGAGCCTACGCTGCTGCGGTGGAGCCGGGCGCCCTCAGCCCGGGCCGTCGGGTCCCCCTGCGGGGCGGGACGCTGAGCTCGGAGTGGCGGGGAGCATGGTGCCGAGCGGCCCCTGGCCCGTCGCGCGCCGCCGCCAGTGAGCCCCGCGTCGCCGCGGGCGGCCGCCCAGCAGCGGCCCGGGCCGGGCCAGGCGACACCGCCCGCGAGGCGGGTGAGCGGGGCGGGCTGGCCGGGGCGGGTGTGTGCGGGCCGGGCGGGCGCGGGGCCGGACCTCAGAGCGCCCACCCGGAGCGCGGCTCCCCCCTGGCCCGCCCGGCCGCGTCAGCGCGGGCCGCCGTGCGCGCGGAGCCCGGGCCTGCGGAGCTGGGCTGCGTCCTGGAGCGTTCTGTTGTTGCTTGCCGCCTTTGGCCCCAGTGTAGTGTGTGAAACGCCCGTCCGCGCGCGGGTTCGACAGGCGCTTCCCGCGGAGACAGGCACCGGGGAGGGACCCGCGGTGCCCATGGAGGGCGGGTGTGAACCCCCTGAACCGTGTTGTATAATAGAGCAAATTTGGGAGTGGTTTTGAGATCTTATATGCGAGGCCGGAGACGGAAGATCCTGAGTTCCAGGCCAGATTGGGCTACTGAGAAAAAAGATGGCATGTAAATGGGAAAAAAAGGCACGTAGATGCAGCAGCTTTCTAGCCCTCCTCCCCCCCCCCCCCCCCCCATCCTGAGGCTTAAACTCAGGGCCTGGGCGCTCTTCCCAGGCTTTTCCCCTCTAGGCTAGCGCTCTACCATTTGAGTCACTTTCTTGCTTTTTGGTGCGTAATTGGAGGTAAGAGTCTCATGGACTTTCCTTGGCTTTGTATTTAGATCATCATATCTCAGCCTCCTGAGTAGCTAGGATTACCGGTGGGAGCCACGGGCACCCTGCTGTGACTTTTCTTAATATCTTTCATACCCCAAATACTTTCATTTTTTTTTCTGCTTTAAGATGGTCAGAAAGATGGTCAGCTAGTAAAACAAAAAACAAAAGCAAAAGAACTACTGAAGAATAGAAATTATTGTCATCTTGGACCTATGGCAGATTTATTTATTTAAAAAAAGTGGGGCTTGATTGTGGTTGTTATTGGAGTCAGTAAAAGGCACCTTACATCTTGGCACATGAAGTTGGTCATTGTGTTTTTCAGCTTGGTATTGGGCTTGAAACCTTCGTGTCAGCCATAGCACTGAGTGAAGAAGAGCATGGCTTTGAGAGATGAGTTAACTCAGAATATACTTAGCCTATGCTTGCAGCATGACTGTTCTGACTCCTGAGCCTCTGACACAACTTCCTCCTGGAGAGCAGTGGTAGTGGTGTCCACCTAGAAGGACCAGGGAGCTTAAAAGGTGGGGTGCCCATGAAGCAGGAGGGGTAGTGCCTTGGACATGGCATTATTGTTGGTAGCCTTTAGCAACAGATTTTCTCACCCCCTGATCCTCAGTAATCGGATTCTGCCTCTTTATCACTCCACTGGAAGGGGTTTGCTTACATTATTGTAGATGTGCAGATGGTGCTAGGATGGATTCTAAGTCTCACTCATGTTAGGCAAGCATTCTACCACAGTGTATGTCTTGTTGCAAAATTGTAAGGATGCACTTCAGTCTTTGTCCCATTTGATGATGATTCCTCTGCCTTCAGACCTGTTGTATTTATTAGGGAGCAGCTCCCTAGTTCACTTATTATATGATCTTAGGCCAATAAACCAACTCTCCATATCCCTTAATTTCCCATTCCGTAATTTAATCTCATCCATAAAACGCAGATGTGGTAAGGGTTATGTATATTATTTGCAAAACTCAGCACAGTGCCTCCTTCACAGAAAATAGTGCCTAGGTTCTGAGTTCAAGCCCCATGACTGGCTCAAGCAAACTAACAAGAAAGTGATGGGATCGGCCTTATGGCCAGGCCTCTTGGAGCTGCGTGGAGATGGCCTCATGGCTGAGAGAAGTGGTGTGAGCAGGCTACATTTGGAGTTTCTGTGGCTGAGAACAGACTGGAGTTGGAGTCTTCTGAAGGGGGTACTGTAGTACTTGGTCTGTGTGGTTGCAGGAGCGCAGAGTCCATGGCTGTCCAAAGCCCCGATTGTTGACTGAAGGCCTCACAGGGCCATGTAGGTGTGAGATCTGAAGGGGAGGAGGTTGCAGGGCAGCTGAAGCCCTAACTGAGTGAGTCTATTGGATCAGAGACCCCAGCTGGAGCTGGGAGTGCGGGGGGAGGGGAACCACCCAGGAGGAGGGCCGAGGTGAGGCCCTGAGGACCAGAGGAGGGCTGGCTAAGGCTGAGCATGGTCTGTCAGCTGGAACCCTGCTCCCTGTCTGAAGGCCTGCTGTGTCCTAACCCCTCTGTGACCTTGTCCCCTACCTTTGTGACCTCATCTGTGACCTCCCCCTCCCCCTGTGACCTCATCCCCCACCTCTGTGACCTTGTCCTCTCCCTCTGTGACCTCATTCTCCCCCTCTGTGACCTCGTCCTCCTCCTCCTCCCCTTCTGTGACCTCCATCCCTTCTGACCTACCCCTCCCCCACTGTGACCTCCCCCTCCCCCCTTTGTGTCTGTGTCCTCCCCCCTGCATTCCCCACCTCGGTGGTGACACTTCCCCCCTCTGTGACAGGCTGTCTGGCTGCACAGGCCTGTTGACCCCAGCAGGTGCTCTACCTCAGCTCTTCTGGGGCAGCTGCCATTGGGTCTCTGTTTTTTTTTTTTTTTTTTTGCGAGGCTCAGGCTCAACACTGCAGTGGGCTGTGGCAGCTCAGACATGGCAGGGATAGAAGTCTGGCCTTGCTCTGCTTTGAGCCACACCCCAGCCCTGCCTTCTCTCCCATTTCTCCTGTCAGGTCAAGGCCCGAGTGTTTCTCTTGGGTATCTGCAGCTCTCATTTCCCATTCTCCCACTCCCTGTCATCCGGTTGTGTGTCCACTATGAGGAGTTCCCTGTTAGCCTGAGATAGAGTCTAGCAGAAGATGAATGGTGTTTTTTGATTTTGTGTAAAGGAAAGCTTGTTTCTGGGCACAGGTGGTAGCTTAGTGTACCTTAAGTGAGAATACCTTAGGTAAAGTGTGACACTACTGAGGAAGTACTGCTGGGAATCTAGAATCCCTCTCCAGTCCAAAGAGTCCGGGTTAAACTAGAATACACCTACTTGAAAACTTCAGCAAGTAGCCATGTGAGAAACTTTGAAGTACTTTGGGGGAGAGAGAGACAGAGAGAGAGAGACAGGGATAGATAGGTCTCACAGGCCTTGTCCCACAGGCTTAAATATGTTCATTTACTTCCTGGCTAATAAAATTTTAATCCCATTGTAAAATTCTGTGTGTGGGTTTCCTCTTTTCCACACTGCATGCTTCCTGCCTGTGTTTTCTGGGTATTGAGGAGTGAACTCCACTCAGCCCAAGCCAGTCCTGAAACATGGAATTCAGCCTCTGCCTACCTCTACCCTGTTCCTGCCTCTCTCCTCAGGACTTTGTAAAGCACCCGCTGTAGGACTTTTCTTGTTCTCTGATATGGCTCGGCGCACAGCTCAGCAGCGTGGGTGGGTCCTTCTTCTCTAGGTCACCTCTCTCCACTGCTATGGCCTCTCATCCTCTGCCTGTCTGGAGAACACTGTGTCCCTCCCTCTTTACCCCTCCCCCCCCCCCCCCCCCAGTTGCCTGGAGGAGCCTGGGTCAGTGTCTCCTGCTTGCACTTGAGCTGCTTATGAGCCTGCAGTCCTGGTGGCATCAAGTTAAGGGAACCTTAGTAGCACCAGAACAGGTAGGAGTGTGCTTCTGTTTGCTGCTGTGTTTATTTGAGATGGATTTGTGGAAGCGTTCTTGAGCTCAGGCATATATAGTAAGTCCTTCAAGTACCATCTAGGAATGCCCCAGGTTCTATCCCAGCACTGCAGAACTAACAAGTAGATAAAAATATTCTTTAAAATTCCGTGTTTTGAGAGCTGGAAAGGTGGCTCAATGATAGAGTGCTTGCTTGCATGCATGAGACCCTGGGCTTGATTTCTCAGCACCATATAAGCAGAAAAAGCCAGAAGTGGCACTGTGGCTCAAGTGGTAGAGTGATAACCTTAAGCTGAAGAGCTGAGGGACAGCATCCAGGCCCAGAGTTCAGGCCCCACAACCAACACCCCTCCCCCCCAACCAAAGAAAAAATATTTCGTGGTTTTTTTGTCATCATGAAGTTGTGTTTTTATTACTAAATTAGCAGAATCAGTTCATTACATTGATGGATTTTATTGTTGAAAATGGTTAGAAATGGGGTTGGAGGACGCCCAAGGACAGGGTGCTTATTTCACATAGGTGACCCTGGGCTGGTCCCTTCACTATGATTAAAAAGAGGAAGAGGGGCTGGGAAGGTGGCTCAGTGGTAGAGTGCTTGCCTTGCATGCATGAGGCCCTGGGTTCGATTCCTCAGCACCACATAAGCAGAAAAAAGCTGGAAGTGGCGCTGTGGCTCAAGTGGTAGAGCACTAGCCTTGAGCTGAAGAGCTGAGGGACAGTGCCCAGGCCCAGAGTTCAGGCCCCACGACTGGCAAAAAAAATTAAAAAAATAAAAATAAAAAGAGGAAGATCTATCTGGATGGGTACTGGTGTCTCATGCCTGTAATCCTAGCTTACTCCGGGCACTGAGATCTTTGGATCGAGGTTTGAAGACAGTTCAGACAGAAGATTCTGTGACACTCTTATCTCTAATTAGCTTGAGCTAATGGCTCAAGTGGTAGATCACCAGCCTTGAGTACAAAAGCTCAGGAACAGTACCCACCCAGGCCTTGAGTTCAAGCCCCAGAACCTGCACAAAAAAAAAAAAGAAAAAGAAAAAACCCAGGCACCAGTGGCTCAAGCCTGTAACCCTATTCAGGAGGCTGAGATCTGAGATCACGGTTCAAAGCCAGCACGGGAAGGAAAATCTGAAAGTCTGTGAGATTCTTCTCTCCAATTAATCACCAGAAAACCAGAAGTGGTGCTGTGGCTCAAGTGGTAGAGCTGAAGAGCATAGGGACAGTGCCCAGGCCCAGAGTTAAAGCCCCACTACTGACCCAAAAAAAAAAAAAAAAGGTTTGTGTGACTGCAGCCATAGGCAGGTGCTCTGAGAAGACACCATGTGTTTTGTAGGAGGGCCTTGAGCTCTACAAATGTTTTACTGTCATGGGAGGGTGGGGCCCTGAAAACATTCCCCTGAGAACAAGCAGGCATAGGA